TCCAGGTAAACTTTCATTATAATATCGAACAATTATATTTTGTATAATAACATATTGAATCCATTGAAAACCACTTGATAATGAACATATACAAAAAATAATTAATACAGCAAAACGTCTTGGATAAACTGTATAAACTCGTGCTGTATCATTTTGAATATTTGTATCCGTATTGTTTTGTATATCATTTGATGCTGGAGAAATCATAAAAAAAAAAAGAAGTACATAAAAAGAAAAAATAATGATTGTGAATCTTTGTCATTTAGTTTATTATGGTACTCGATTTGATTTTTATCTTATCAGTCTATATAAAATAATTTTCTAACCTTCAAACTTACTTAATGCACATGGTAAATAATTTTTTGCCGTTATATTTGCCATTAGAGATTGTTGTTGAGAGATATTTTGTACTAATTACACCTATTTTTTTCTTTCTATTTTTCATAAATATCATTGTTGTTATTATCTTGCGTACACATATGGTTGGTTGCGTGTGCGATTTTTTATCAAGAATAACATACATTCTATACAATAGATAAAACCTTGTCGGCAAGAAAGAAAAAAGGAAAAAGAAAGAACGAAAAAGAACACAATAGATTGATCATTATTAGTATTCATAGGTTCATTTGGTTTCTTTTTTTTTTTCTCTATGGTCAATCAATATTTCGCTACGTTCATTGATATTTTCGACATGTATTGTAGCGCTATTGTAAGTTTGTCCGATCGGTCGGTCACAATAAAGATATAGAACATTTTGAGTATTATTGTTGAATATGAATACAATTTCCGTTGTTACACGTGATATAAATGAATTTTTAAAACATCCATTAATTATTTGGGCAGAAAGTTTTATTGAAAAAGAAAATAAATTATCATATGAACAATTAATTAATAGTACATGTTTTCATGCTATTATTCGTTCAATGTAAGTGCAAAAAAAAAAAAAAAAAAGAAAATTTTGAGAACAAAATAATAGATTTTTCATTTTTTTTTTCATTTAAATGAACTAGTGATCCTCGTTTACAAAATTCTCGTTTACCAAATGAAGCATCTGATACAAGTAGTCGATTAGTTAATTTAGATTTTATTTTACGAAGTATTCGATCATTTGTTCAAGTAAAATTTATTTCTTTTTTTTTTTGTATTTTTGGCTTGATGTTTTTTTTTTATGCTTTTTTGCTTTTGTAAAGGATGTGCTTCGCTATATAATTGTGGCTGAATTACCTAATATTTATGTAATTGCTCATGAACCGTATGCAGGTCGGTTTTGTAAATAATTCTTTTATTTTATTAGTTAAAGAAAAGAGAGAATTCTTTTTTTTTTCTTTTGTTGACTTTTTCTAAAAAATCGAATAGAAAATATTCGATACGATATTTAAAAGGTTTCAATGATGATTACCAAAGATCGACAAAAAAAACAAAAATGTTTGATTATGTTGAAATCTTAAAAGTTCTTTAAATGTTTGTTTAAATAACAACGATTCGAATATTTCATTGGATACATTTTTTTTTCACAAGACATTAGTTTTTAAAGTAGAAGAGAAAAAAAAAGCCCAGGAAATTCTATATGAAAATTTGTTGTTATAAAACTTAATTTATTTAATTGATTTTGATAAATGTACCGAATTTTTTGCATGTTTTTGATAATCAATATGATATATATATATATTCTTGATGAAATTGAGTACATGGAAATAAGATTTCATGAGTTAGTTTATTCTATGAGATCGAAGAACTTTAGATTCTATTTATAGTAATCAATATTATTTACGAATGTTCATAGTATGTAATCGATTTTTGAAAATATTTGAGAAACACAGCTTGAGCTAATGGAAGCAATAAAAAAAGAAAAGAAATCGTTTATATATTAATGCATAAGTGGATCCGATAATGTAAAAGCTATTAAATATGACGTCAGAAGGCTACTATTGTAATCGTTTAATTTTACATTTATGTTATTTCTATAGGAATGTATTCCTTAGAGAAATGAAAATGTTTCGTGTTCAAAATCAACTTTCTCAATTGAATTATATAATTGTCTGACGTCAGAATAGAGATGGTGATGATATGCGGTTTTTTTAATCTATCAACGTAATCGAATCCAGCTCGTCTCTTCGCGTGTTGAATGATTTTTTTTTTGACTTGCGTGTTGAACAGTCGTTAACCCATTGGGGGAGGATTATTACAAATTATATTGTTATAATGTTTATAAATAGAATATTATATATAGATATTAAAGAATTTAAAATATGTTTAAAAAAAAACAACAAATAACAAAAGAAAAAATAAATGTTCATATATACATTATTAATATAACAAACACAACTTTGACTAGAATAATAAAAATGATAAATGAGACAATAAAATAAAGAAATTAATCATCAATTTATATTTTGAACAAAAGCTAGTAAACTTGATTTTTGTGTATGTTTGTTGATTACAATAAAGAAGATCGGACTTGCAAAAAATATTGCTCAATATTAGCAATAGATGTGATTATATAGATGATTAAATTTGTTAGCTAATAAAGATTTATTTCATTTTCATTTTCCATTATAATAAAAGTAAATCATCATAGTATGATTATTATCTTCAGTACGTTATCGTTCGATAACGAAGAAATAAGAATGAATAATGAGCGTGACTGTAGGTAGAAAGACAAAAATTTTGTCAAACAGATTCAATCCGTGAATTACATGTAAAATTTAAAGCCGACTCATGGAGATCTAAAGGTCAACGTATCTATTTCAGAAAACGATCTCATTCCTAATATCTCAAATTTCTAATTTATATATACATAACTGTATGAAAATTCTAATTCATTAACTTTTATGAATAATTCATCTTTAGAATTTAATATATAATTTTATTTTTATTTAGAATATTCATTCGATGAAATTGAACGTATTTTATTACTTTTACTTGCATGTTCAGTATCAGGTGGTGATAGAAAAGATATTCATATTCAACATTTAACAACATTAAATGAATCAATTCAACAATCTCTTATGCCACATATAGAAGAATTAACAAATGAAATTAATACAATACTTCAACCACAAGAATATTTTTTTAATGATTATTTTAATACAGATAATAATAAATATCTTAAATGTTTATTTATTAATTTAATAAATTTAATTAATGAACGTGATCATTATTTTGAAGAAATACTTGAATTAGAACAAGATAAACAAACATTAAAACAAAAACTTGAATTATATCAATCAAGTTCATCAAATTTATTAAATATAGGTAATTGTAATAGTGGAACTAATTTACATACAACACCAAGTCAAACATCATTAAATACATTTTTAAATGATCTTGAAACAAAAAATCCTGGTATTGAAATAACAGAATATAAAACTAAAATGCGTCAAATGAAATCAGATTTGTAAGTTGGTTTTTTTTGTAAGAATTTCAAATTTTTTTTTTTTTTTTTTTTGTTTAATCTAGAGATGATAAAATGGATACAATTGAAACTATGCGTGAAGAATTTGAATTATTACAAACAGAATTAAATCGTATTAAAAATGAAAATATTGAATTAAATCAAAATGCACGTTTAACAAGACTTTATCGTGATGAAATAGATACTTTAAATGATAAATTAATTAAAATGGAAAAATATCAACAAGAACTAGAAAGATATAAAGAACGTTTCAATGATTTTGACACATTAAAAAATCGATTAGAAGAATTACAAAATGAAAGTAAGAATTTTATTCTTTACTTCTTATATTAAAATATATTGGAATATTTTTTATAGATCAACTTCTTTCTCAAGCTCGTTCACATCTTGAACAACAAATTGAAGGTAAGATTTGAAATTATAATTCTTCGTCAGAGAAATGCTTTGATATGCGAAATAAGATAGGGTGTGGGTGTGAATGAAGAAGTGACTCCCATCCTACTAAAATTGGTCCGGAAAAGTACTTTGGAAAAACACTCCTCCACACATGCTTGTGTCCGACGTTGTCCTTTATTGATTAGTGAAAACCGCAGATCGTTACGACTTTTCGTTCAAAAGTTATAAGCTTTTTTTTGTTAGCTACCTTCTTTAAAAATTCCGATACTAATTACCTTATCATCAACAGTTCTGTTTTATCTTCTGGCAAATACTCAAATTCTGGAAGTGGTGTTCATCTCAGAATTTTTTTTGTAATTGTAGCACTCTATTCAAGAGAATTTGACGCGTCAGAATTGAATTGACCTTGTCGTCTAACTCCTATTAACTAAATTTTATTATGTAGAAAAATAAGAAAGTCTTTTTATATTATCTATTTACTATATTTTGCAATATATATTTATTTTGCTCATTGACTTATTCCCATAAATAACATAATAGAAATTCTCATCATATTTAAATACATTCGAATAAAAAAAAACAAAATTTTTCTTTTTTTTTTTAATGTTTATTCAGAATATCGATATCGTATAAATGAAATGCTTCAAAGTGAAATAGATATAAAAAAATTTCAACATGATATTGAAACAATAACACATGAACGTGATATGATACGAGAAAGACTTTCAAATTTACTTGAAGATA